CTTTCCCCTCCCCCTATGCTATCCAAACCCTCATCGGCTAGAGCTAGTTGGGAAGGCAACAATGGGATGGCGGTGTTTTAAGAACAAAACCTCTAAATCTGACATCATTCTACCTTTTCCTCTTGCTCCTGCCCAAACCCATTGACAAAAAGAAAGAGGCGTAGCAAAGGTAACCAAGGTAACCCCTGGCTTCCCTCTTGCCTTCCTCCACGTGAGAACTGTTTCATTTTTCCCATTAATTCTGCCGAACTACGGGATTTAGCAAATCCCGTATTTGTCGTGAAACGATGTTTTTAAGATTTATGAGACATCAGAATTTGCAGATAGATTTGTTACCATTTGGCAGGATTTAGGGTAACTCCTGCATAAATCTTGCTTATAACTGGTTACCAAATTGCCCCTTAGGCTACCAATCAAATTTGTCACTGAGGCAACCTAATTTTTACTTCTAGGATGACACTTACATTACAAAATAAGCCTAGAGAAAAAGAATTTCCTGAAGGACCTATTGGATTTAAAATAGACTAACACCTTCAAAAAATAACCTTATTTCCAATAAGGCTGTTTTTTTAAAATATATTTTTTATTATTTATGTTTTTTTTTTATAAATCGAACTTGTAACCTCCAAATCATACAAGGAGGTAAGCTACAATTTCTTGAGGTCCAACTTATACCTCGAGAATCCACTACAGAGAAAGATTTTTTGCTCAAATAATTAATAAAAAACTACAAAGATTGACAAAAAGGTATTTATATGTTATATATTGATCATGAGAAAGATTGTGATCGAATATCACATGATTGATTCAAGAACATTGCGAACAAAATAAAGGCATCTAAGTAGGTTTAAGTTGTAAAGGATATGTTTGGTAAATCAAATGCATAATACGTGTAGTAGTGAAATGATTAAACACGTCTCAATCATAGCAAGATTACATCAATAATCAATATAATTGCAACTACATTGGTTTATTTAGATGCTTTCAAAAAAATAAAAAATAAAAAAAGTCGGGTACCTTGGTATGTCATTTTGCATGACATAGCAAGTGAGAAATCTTCCCAAGCATTATAGTCAAAATAAGGATATAATCTTACTAAAATAAAAAAAAGAGAAGTGTCAAAATGATCCTCTGACTCCTCGAAAGTCATTTTAGTCCCAGAGTTCATAAATATGCCAATTTAGTCCCAAGACTCATTTAGAAGGGGTTAAAATAGTCCTCCCTAAGGACTATTTTAGTCCATATTAAAAGAGGGAGCTAATTTGACATTTTTACCGACATTGGGATTAAAATGGCCTTGTGTAAATAGTCATGCAACTATTTTGACACTTCACTTAAATATAAACTAAAAGAAACTTAAAAGAGGGAGCCTAAACTTAGCAAAATAAAGTGATTCATATACCACGTAATTTTAGAGGATGAGTATAGGGGAATTAATCAAAACCATTTCATAATGTTTGAAGCTCATGCAATACAAATGTTTAATAATTTTATATATCTTAAATCCAATCTACAAATTAGAATATTGATGGGGATATAACTCATAGAATTAAAATTTAGTGTTAAAACAAAAAATTGCCTTTGAATAATATTATAAGATAATATCATGAAAGCTTAAATGTGAACTATAAATTTATAACTAGAACAAGTCATAAGAAGTTAAATTTTCAACGATGAAAAAGTAATGAATATTTGGTTGACCAAGAATAAGAAAATAAAGGTGGATGTGTCATAAAATAAGAAAAGATAGAATGATATGTGCATATATTAAAGAGACAGTATGGGTAGCATCTATTTAAGATGATATATTAAGAAACAAACTCTGGGAGTTTTTTGCATCTACGCTTGATGCTTAAAAAATATGCTAATAAATAGATAACTTAAATTGATGCGAAAGGGATAGGATAGAAAAGAAGTATATAAAAAGAATTTATGCAAAATATATGCACAAAAATTTAAAACCTCATGTAGTACTCAACAGAAAATGTCTCCAAATTAGTATGACTATAATATGTTCAAAAGGTTTACACCCAGTAGATTTAAAAGCTAAATAAAACTCATTTAGCACTGAATAAGAACAAATGGCGGAAGATTCATAAAATTAGCCTTTAATAAATGAAATAAAGCTAACGACAATGAATATCATGACAAAGAAAATGAAAAAACTTTTCCAATACTTGAACACCAGAACCATGAATTGGCGCTTAACATGGCAATAATCAACTGTTAAGGATTTGCCAATAATTAAAGAAATTTTTTGCATCAAAAGCTTTCAATATCTACCGGAATACTTTTCAAGTTATATGTCTAGAAACAAGCATGCAAAATGATCAAAATCTGAAAACCATGGAAAATACAATCTGCAAAGTGGTGGTTTAGCTTCAAAAAATAAAGCAATTCAGGCAAGAACCTAGACTAAAAGCCTAGCCCTACAATCTTTTGGGACAAATTTGCAAATAATCCAATAGATTGGTGAAAAAGTAAATCAACACTATTTGACATCTCAGAACATGCATAAAATAAGCAACGAAGGGTACCACTTTAAAAGAAAACTAAAGAATACTGCAGCACAATAAGAGTAACAAAGTGAGCAAAGAACTAAATTTTAAGATATTGACAATGTGCGGAAACAGAGAAAATATGACCATAAAGGTTGAGACAAGTTATTCGGCAGCATTCAAGTGAATAATAAAAGAGAGTATTTCAAATGGGAATATGAAATTAAAGTTATAAGATGGATGAGAAGTAAAATAATTAAATGATTAAGTGAAGAATAATTATATTAAATAGACCTGGAAGTAGAATCTAGAAATAAAGACCTAAGGTGAATATGACAAGTACAATGCCAAATAGAAGATGCACCGATAGGGTAACAGAAAGAATTCAGGAAAATAAATATGAAAGAGAAGCTGTACACTAGCGGTAACATGGTTACAAGTGACACAATAGTCATGTGAAAATTAGAATTAACAACACTTGCGATACTTTACATGATTGATGAACAGAGTGAAAGGAATCAAAAGGTTGGTGTCGGCCTAAGGAAGATTATGATGACAATTGTGTATAATGAAAAGTTTAAAAACCATCCATAGTTCTAGCTATCAAACCAATGTTAATTAGACAACCGATAAAACATGAAAAATTGTCATAAAGTACTTAAGCGGGATCATAAGAACTTGTCATTACTTAAACAAGAATGATAAATAGTTAAATCTAGAAGGAACTGATTGCATGACTGAGGCAAGTACTTCATTCACACTCCAAACTCAAGGAGTTAAGCAAATGTCAAACACAAAATTTTGCATGTTTCCAGGACTTTAGCAAATAATATTGAGAACATTATTCATAAAAAGATTAGGCTCGCTTTCTAAAGAAGTGGATTCATGTACGAATAACCACAATATAATCAAAGAATTGATGTTCAACATATCAAATCAAAATCAACTCTGGTTGTTTGCACTGATATGCAAGCCTGAAAGTGATTTGTCCCATTAGAAGAGTAATACTATACACCTCAAAAACTTTCAGAAATAGTTGGTAATTTTATGAGTATATGTGCTATCAATCAGGAAGGACAGAAATCAAGCAGTTAAATTAGGAGTTTTCTATAATTAGGAGCATCCTAATTTAAATTATTTCCAATATCTTTATTATGTTTTATTTCCCTTTTAGTTGAATATTTAGATTAGGAATATGTATTATTAAGTTACCTAAAATAGATTATATAGAATATTTTGTACCTAAAATAGATTGTAAGATTATTATTTAATGGAATGAAAGCAAAGGGAAAAGGCATCGAGCCTATTCAGAATTCAACTTATTTTTCTCAAAACTTTGACATGATATTAGAGTCAAATTTTTTCCCTAACCACCAATAATCGTTAGAGGACCGTCAAAACTCCCTTACAGCCAGTCTTCTTGCGGAACGGGAAGGAATGAACTATTTCTTTAGCTTGATTCTCGCCCGTCTACTCATCGTTTCATTATTTCTTCGATTGTGTCGCCTTAGTTCTACTTCGTCTTCCTCTTCGACCTCTTCGACTCGGCCACGGCCAGTCTCGACAGAGCCTCTCCTTCGTTCGAACTCCACCCGCAGTGGCTCCCGCCTTTTGACATGATATCGGATCTTATTCGCTAGCCATCGTTGCTTCTGCGCCGTCTTTAACTGTTTCTTCTGTTGCTTCATCCGGATGCGAATCCTACTTGTAGACTATGATCGGTAACATCTGGATCGTGTAACTGGACACGAATCCTTCTTGTGGCTATGATTCGAATTTCTGGATGTCAATGGTAGAGGATTTACTGCTTTTCTTTGCTCAAATAATATTAGGTTCGGGAGTTGTCTCTTTGGCTTCGGCATTATCGGTTTCGACATGTTCGGTTTCAACACTCACGACTTGAGAATTGTTTGTCACAACAAAGTTTCTTGTTCGCAAATTGATGTTTCCTAATCAATCAGCATCAATTTGAGGGGGGATGTCAATCAGGAAAGACGGAAATCAGACAACTAAATTAGGAGTTTTCTATAATTAGGAGCTTCATTATTTAAATTATTTCCAATATTTTTATTCTGATTTATTTCCCTTTTAGCTAAATATATAAATTAGGAATATGTATTATTAAGTTAACTAAAATTGATTATATAGAATATTTTGTACCTAAAATAGATTGTAAGATTATTATTTAATGGAATTAAAGCAAAGTGAAAAGACAACGAGCCTATTCAGAATTCAGTCTATTTTTCTCAAAACTTTGACATGTGCCACAAGCCTAGCTGATTGTATGGCCCACCTTTTATAACTGGACCACCGAGGCTTGGGGCACATATAATTGGAAAATCTGAAAGTTTTTGCAAAATCTTTTGGGAGCATACATAACCCTATTAAAAATCCATAAAAAAAAAAACGATAGATATAGACAATAATTGAAACTATTGTAATTGTAGCAATACACAAGTGAAGTAGATTTGCAACAGCTAGAAAAAAGTTTGTGTACATTACATCTTATCACTGATGTCCTCAAGCAAGTGCATAAGTTTCTTAGCTAAATGCTGCCTTCGATACTCAGAAGCAACTGTTACTGCAGTGACATGACCATGCCAAGATTCACCCTGGCCTTCTACCTTGCCCATTACTGCAGTATTTGCATTACAAATATTCATTACTTAAATATATCATCAAGAAAACCAAAGATAATTGAGCGATGAGTATGAAACAAAACATGACCAAAGGACATGAACCGTTCCCAAGAAATAAAGCAGCAGTATGCCATAAAATCAATGTTTCAAATCAAAAACATAATATTGCATTAAACCAAACTCTAACGGTATGAAATTCACCTTTGCAAAACCTTTAACAAGCACAGCATTGGCTATCTTATAAGGAGCCGAAAGAGAGAAGTAGAAAGTAAGAAGAGATCTTCCGTATGTTAGAGAATTAGACATAGCACATGATTCTTTCACTATAAAAATGGTATGTTTAATTCTCTAATCAAGCATCTGCTAACAAGCGACGAGTGTTCTGACATAATAATCGTTTTCTCAAATAAGTTTTCATAAGAACATGCAATGCCTAGATTGCATAGATAGTTCCAAGTAAAATAACAAAAACTGAGCCTTCAATCTAACGCATCTCCAACCGATCAGTGAAAATTTTTATTTCCTTGATAAATGAGTTTTTATACAACTAGAATATGGTTAACAACTTCGATGTGATCTTAAGTGAGGTTGTTCGTGTGTTAAGCATCCACCAGTAACATGGAATCCAATATTGAGGCTGTTAAGGGAGAAGTTCATGAGAGTGCAGGGTGTACATAAACCAAGCTTGAGTGAGTAAGCTGTTTGTTATGTTCTACTCGTTTCAACTTTGCTGTGAATGTATTCAGCTCGCTTCTGAAATTATCCGTGAAGAAAGTGTTGATGCTCAGCTCCTTAGAATTTGAATCAAGCATGAGTGAAGAATGAGCTAATTTCAAATAAATAAAAATAAATAAAGAATGCCAAAAACAAATAAAATGATTCTACTAATGTAATAACCAATTAATAAATCTACAAAATATAAAAATATTTTGATCTATATATTTATAACAAGTCGGTGATGAGCCAAAAATGATCAAATAAAGTTTCATTCATGCTTTTAAAAATCAAGCTCAAAATTCATATTTGTCTTCAACTCACATAATGAACAAATCGAGCACATGCTTCTTATTGAGTTAAACAAAAGTTAAAAGTGAAAGACAAGGTCTTTTTAGACTGCCCTATGAGCTTGCACAAAAGGCGGTAACACCAACCTTTTATCAATGCATATGCTGCGAACTGTAAACCTAATTTTTGTTGCTTCCATTTCAGTTTCAACGAGCTTAAAACCCATGCATGCTTTTCTTCAAGTAGATTAAAATATAATATCTTTTAAATAAAGAAATAATTTATTCTTATAGTACCACGTTCATGCCATTTTTTTATTATTATTTCTTAAATCTTTTACCTCAAACTTCTTTTCCAAAAACCCTTCTAATGTGGTTAGCTTTTTATCGAAGGCATCATCAATATAAGAATATCTATAAGTATTAAGGGTGTGCATTATGTCAGTTTGAATGGATTAATTGATGGACTTATTCAATTCACTAAGCCGAGATAAAATATTGGCAAAATCAAACCAGCCAAATAATGGGTAGAACCACACCGCAATAGAGTTTGATTCATTGATTCAATTTTGGTTTCACCGACCGAATATTACATTACTGATAGAAGGGCATACCTTCTGTCAGTTCGGTTGCTTCTCTCATCAACTTCATACTTTCAGGCAGATCCAAAACATGCTTTGCTGTAATGCTTTCCTATTCAATTTATTGCTTACTTCCTGTAAGGTGTGAGTACGGGTCTGGCCATAGCTTTCAAAAAAGAAACTAAAAGGAGAAATAATTTTTTGTTACTTTTTCATGACATTCTCGTTATTTGATTTAGATAATTATTTTAACCAGATTAATAACCAGAATCCAAACAAACGTTACTTCCAAATAAAATATTAAATATTCTTTTAAATAAACTGAACCAAACCAACCAATTACATTTGGTTTGCCTCGATTTTTAAGTTTAAACCAACTAATGCACATTTCCTAGTATATATGGATTGCATTTTTTTATTGGGATGAGCCTTATTAAGAAAAGAGTAGTCAACTTGGTCTCGAGTGTACTCATATTTTTTAAACATATTTAGAAAATCAGTAAAACCAAACCCGAGAAAACTATTTAAGACTGTATGTAGAGCTTTCATTAAATATCCATATCTCATTGGTTTTTCTTTAAGTTCCAAATTCATGTCCTGATCTCCAAAATATACTTTCTCCTCAATGTCTAAATTAAGAAAATCAATCTTAATATCAAGTAGATTTTGAAACTAGCTCAAATTTGCAGCAAAAGAGGCAAAATTCAAATTGCGTTAAGTCTGCCAATGGGCAATGGCTTCTTCATAGTCAATACTATAAGTTTGAGAGTAACATTTTTAACAAGTTGAGCTTTAAAATTTTCCACTCCTACATGCTCTATATTTAACATTGTAATTTATTAGCAATTAACATTTTTTATTTGGTGAAACTTCAAAAACTTCCCACATACATTCCTTTATGAGATCTAGATTTCCACAATTATAGCATTCTTGCACTTGGGGATTTTAAGAGTCTAATGAACATGTTTAGATTTTGTGCTTTATCAAAAATGACAAAAGCATAAAATTCAGGTGAAAATCCTTTACAAGTGATGAAATTATAAATTGAGGGTTTGGTGCATGACATTACCCCTTTCCTTAAGCCAACGAGATAGTGAGCATTAGTATCATCATTTATGAAACTATTCTCACAAATTTGTACTTAATTGGTTCTTAAACAACGTTAGGGTTCTAAGGTGAGCTAGAGATATGATGATTGCTCCCTTTTAGATATTTTCTTTTCCCTCTTTATATATATATATATATATATATAGTGGTATATATATATATATATATAAACCTCACTCTATATGAGCGTAATGACAAGATAAAATAATTTGCAAATATGTTAAGGCTTTAGTAGATTGGATATACCAAAAAGATAATGAGAGAATTTGCGGTTTTGGTGAGGACTAATGAGAAATGTTCATTATCCATGGGTTAGATAAGAGTTGATAGATAATGAAATAAATTCTAACCACACCAAAATTTTAAACTTTGAGTAGAAAAGTTGATGTTTAAAGAATGATACATCCATAGAACTATACATTTTTTTAGTGATTACGAAATAGCATTGATGCCCTTCTTGATTTGGGTAGTATCCAGTAAAGATAAGCTTGATGCATATAAGATCTAATTTGCTCCCATGCTAAGAATGAATGTGAATGAACATCCAAAACATTTTGGAAAAGGTAAGAAAAATATGATTTTGATCTTAGGAAATGAATGGAAAAGGGTTTGAATAAGTGTTTGAAGTTTAAGGACACCTGAGGCTATTTTATTAAAAAGATGTGTAGTTTTCAAGACAGTTTGTGGGCTCTAAAAATTAACGACCGCTCTACAGGAACTCTCTGCATTTCATTTTTATTTTTGTTTTAAGAGAGAGAGAGAGAGCTTAGGATAAAGCTCTCACACTTCAATTCAGAAGACATATTGGATTGTAGATGAGACACTACCCAGAGATTTCGCCCTCATTTTGCGAGAAATTTTTGATCTGGGGTTCGAGGTTTCCCATAGGCGCAAGCCACTATGGTTAATTATTTGTCCCCATAATTGGAGAGCACTTTCGATTAAGGCTAATAATTAATATTTTAGTATTCAACACATAATAGCAGCAAAAACAAAATTTAAATTTTAGAATTCACCACTTGAAGCATAAAACGAATAATGGAGATATGAAGATGAAACCCAATCAAGATCTCATCGTTCCATCATCTTGGGTTGTCATATTCCCTGATCTACTTAGTCAGAAGAGATAGTCGACCTATCCTAATAGAAGGATTCTTGTCAGCAGTCATGTGTTGTGTTGTCCAAGAAATCCTTGTAGATCTAGGGTGGATGTTTGTCTAAGGAAACAAATTTAAGTCGACCTTAACTAAAATAAGGCTTTATGTCAATGAAGTCTGCCCTTGTGATTCACAACTCAAAAGATAGAAAACAATTAGGGAATATTCGGGTTGTGGCTGTAACCATAATATAATGATGACATTTGATGGCAATCACTCGGTCAGAAAGATTTGGTTATAACTGCTATTATGTGGTATTATTTGGCAGCAGAGTCATGTAGATAGAGGACTCGGATTACATCCTAACTAGCATGCAATTACTTTAATTGTAAATATATCGATATATTTGATATGACATTAAATCTTTGTAAGCTGAAATCAATCAAAAATTTGTCACCCTCGACAAACTATTGCGAAGGGCGGATGGATTTTGCGTTTTAGTTTTTAAGTGATTGAATTTTAGCTTGAATTTTAGTGATCATTTTGAAAATCCCGATTAAAAAGATTGATCACTCCAGTTAAAATCTTCGATCAAGAGGGCCACCATCGGGGTTATTGAAAATTTAAAGTTTTTATATAACAAATGAAAGACATTTAGTTTTGTTAATTTAAGCTTTTTAAAGTATAAGTTTTGATGACTACTATCCTTATATGTAGGAGGAATGGACTAGTGATTTAGACTTATAAATTTTTATTTGATGATTTGAATATTTATTTCAAAATTACTAGAATCATCAACTACAGCACTTGTGAGGAGAATCAGACTAGAGAGGTGAGACTTACAACTTTATCCTATAGACAAGACGTCCAGATTAGCCCGCACAACATTCTCGAACCTATTAGTTGAATACTCAACACATTGGTTGGAGCACGTGCAAGTATATAACTTTATATGTAAGCACACTTTCATGCACTTTGTAACTTTTGAGTGACTCAACTGCTAATTTAAAATGTGATTGAGAGACAATTTCTTTCATAAAGAGGCATGTGCAGCAATTTGAAATCATGCATAGCTTATTTATTGAGAGTATCAAAGTTTTAACTCATGTAAGTTCTAAAATAGTTTTATGGATCTCCAAGTGTTGTATTTTTTATTTGATTTAGAAAATATGCCCTGAAATTATTCAAATTTTGAAATATTTTCAAAAATGCACTTCCATTTACATAAATACATTTGGAGCTTAAAAAAGATCACCTTCTGTTTGTTGGCAGACACATTGTGAATTCAGTGATGGAATTGGCATATCAATTCTTCATTTCAACAATTAAAAATTTGTCATTCAATTTCAATTCAGGTTTAGCCTCCTAAACTTAGCCTCAAATAAAGTTTAGCTCCCCAATTCTTTCACATTTTAGTCATTTAAAAATATAAGGAATTCAAACTTTCAAAATCATTTTCATGTCTCGACAATCCAATTTAAAATATTATTATTTTAATTATTTTTTAAAAGATCAAATAATTTAATTTTTGGACATTTTAAAAGTTTATAATGCCTTGAATGATTTTACAAGTCCGGGATCACCAAAAATTTCAGCATCGTCCCCAGTTAGGTAGCTGCATAGGGTGTCTGTCTGCCCAGCTGTCTATAAGACGCGCGGGTCAGTGTCATATAGTCTTAAGCATTAACTTGAGGCTAAATCAAGCCCATCCACATAAGGCGAAGATTTGACAAAAAAATTCAGACTCCGAAGCAACAAGATCTACAATGAGAGAGAAAAGCTCATTCCAAGGGATAGGCCTTAAGGACGATTACCCTCACAAAGACAAAAATTATGCCGCAAAATTAGGCCCATCCACACAAGGCAGGAGGGACTTGTCCTAAAACTTAACTAGCATAATAAAGAGTCAACTAAGACTTGAATCAACTAGGATCAATTTGATGAAGCATCTTAGTTACATTTGTCAATATAAAATACTATAGAAATTTTATTTTATGAGAACAAAAAATAAAGAAAAGATATTTTAGAAGTATTCAAATTCCATAGATAAAAATTTCATAACATACAAAACTTGGATTTCTTATATCATATGCTAAAAAAAATTGTCATAAAGAATTTGATTTGGGGTCATAGGTAATGTTATATTCGTCTTTTAATAAATTTTTTGTTGAGCTTGATATAAGTTTCATAGTTTGGCTCGATCGAATATAATGTTGAAATGGAGATTGAATAGTACCACATAAGAGATAAATTGTTGAAATAAAAAACAAAAAAACTTAAAACAAACTATATTCAACCACTTATTTCCCTTTGCAACTTGCAAGGCCCGATATGAAAAAAAACAAAAACTAGCTCTCATAAGCACCAATTAAAGAAGTTAGCATGTTGTCGAACTCATCCACCAACAAATTGTGAAGCCTGGGATCAAGTGATGAAAAATAAATTCAGCGAACACTAAAAGTTAATTCAACTGAGAAGCCTTCAAGAGCATGCTCAACAAGAAAACTTTTGTCTTCGAGTAGTCAACTTCTTCATGAATCTCATGGGCAAATTTATCAAGCAACTCGACGGGATGACTATTGAGCCAATTGACCGAATATTCAATTTTATTTACTCACAACTTCTCAAATTTGAGAGAAGAAGCTTTTTCTTTATCAAACTCGATTGGATTCAGTGGCCGCACCACTTTCTTCAATGATACTATTTCTACAAGCAGTTCCTCAATCTTGCTTAAAGAAGTAGTTATTCAGGACTCCCCTGGCAACATCTTTTGGTGGTCAGCTGCCTCTAAGTTTTATTTCATAACATTAGCCTAATACCCAGCCGTCAAATCAAAACCTGCTTCCTAGGGAGAGAATCTCAATACTTTCCTGTATTTAAAGCAATCGTCTTCTCAGCTTTTATCAAAAACATGATGGTTACGATGACTAACTCTTTGAGAAGATCATCAACAAAATCAATAACTTATTTCTTAGCATCTTTCCCTAGCTACTATTCATCTCAAAGTTTCCCCTACTTAAAGCAATCGTCTTCTCAGCTTTTAACAAAAACAAAATGGTTCCGGCGACTAACTCTTTGAGAAGATCATCAACAAAATCAATAACTTATTTCTTAGCATCTTTACCTAGCTACTATTCATCTCAAAGTTGGCAAAGCTCATTCTCACAAAACCCAGAGCATGTCCCTTCATGGAATGCTTCCACAAAATTTTGTTAAAAACATCGAAATCATGTTAGAGACCAACTCCTTACTTTAAAGAGTGTTGAATATCAATATAATGTTTCCTTTAGAGGCCAAAAAACACCATGGAGTACTAAACTTGCTACTCGTCAACACCATCTCTAAATGCACAAATTATTCGATCCAATCAATGAAACGCTTCTTGACATATTTCCCATAATGGCCATTGATGCCAATACATAAGTCATCAAGCCCTCAACAACAATCTCGATATCGTCCGAGGTCATCTAGACAAAGACTGGCCTTGATTCTTTGCGGCAACAACCTCAATCTTTCTAATTCTCCAAAGCCTGAATTCTCAATGAAGACAATGACTTATTTCTATCCAAAAGTTCCCTCGTATACCACTGTACTTGTTGGCAAAGCTAGCTCTAGATCGTTTTCTTCTGGTGGTCCAATCTTCGAATTCTTCATAATAGATTCAAACCCAGCAACAAGTTCACTAGCTTTACACAGAGATGCCTCTCTAAACAACCTCTAAAGAACATAAGAAATGTGCTGCACACAAAACAATCAAGCCTCCTAGTCCTTGCAAGAATATTGAATAATAATCACAATTGTGGGGCTTTGATCAATAAAGATGAAAAGAATTGATAAATAAATGGGTTCTGATGGTCAACCGACAATCAATAATTTAAAATTTTTTGTTCTGCCGTATCAGCTAACCAGCTAACAAGTAAACACTTGACGAAATTTCAAAATATTTTGCCAAAATTTGGAGGAAACTTCGAGATTGATTGATCTCACCCGATGCAATTTGAGTATTTCAATCTTATTTTATTGTTCATCATGACTTACTAGAGGAAACAAAAAAAATCATAAAACCGACGTACATCAATATTCATCTGGGACTAATTGATCAGCTCATTTGATAAGCTTAATTCGGGTTCTACAACTCACAAACTCTGAACTAGCATAATTATCTCATGGCTCACTAAGCCTAGAAGTCATCCAAAGCCTTGATTTACTGCCTCGCTCGCCCTAGCTTGAGTCTTGTAAGTTGTTCAAACCAACAAGTTCAATTCAGGCATCACAACAAAAACATTGAACTCTAGGGAATCCAAAAGCTGCATATCAAATAGGGCCTTTCGTCCAGAGAGCTTAGCTACTAAACCAAAGTACTCAATTATGGAGTGTGGGTTCTCGTTGAGAGAACTCGCCTCGCCAAGAGTACTCACCCTTTTATTAGAATTTGCACACAATTCTCGCCTATAACTGACAGCCTGGCTTGACATTCATGTACTTTTCCCGCTATGTTTTGTAGTTCTTTCAACATAAAAGAAGTCACTAATCTTATAAGACCACAATGCATCATGTAACCTTGTTCTATACTACCATGGCCAAAAAAAAATTTCCACAAAATTTTTTAGAGCTTCGCTGTCTAAACCATGTTGTTTCCAATCATGTAGAGAAATTCTATGACCTGCTATTTCTCTCTCAAACAGTCTAGGGCTCATCCCAAGCTTAAACCAAGGTATGAATCAACAATTTGTAAGAGATTAAAAAACACAAATAAGACCAGTATGCCAAATTTGGAACAAGTTCTTTATCACAAAATAAATTTTATACCCGATTCCCCAGCTCCACATATCTGCTAATTTGTACCCTGACAATAAATAAATAAATAAACAAAAAAAGACCAATGTCCTGATTCTATGCCGGGTCATTTTTCCACTAAGTCGAAAAGAGTCTGGAAAATCCTACGCTAAACCCTACATCAATCCCCAAAACAATCAAAGCAATAAACCGAATAATCTGCGACCAAATAGGTATGCGTTAGATGGTCGATTGCGGGCGCTTACTGTAACCCATGATTCGATTGCCTGGGGCCTCGGCAACATGGAAGTAATCCGGCCATCGAGCGAGGTAAGACATGTAGAAGGACATGTTGAACTGTGAACAAATGCGGGAGGGAGATGAGTAACTGTGAGTGGAGAGTAGAGAAAATAAATAAAGAGACCGAGGATTCACCGTCTCGGTAAGGTGATCGAGGTTAACGGGAGCAACGCGGAGGAGATCTTCACAGCAAAATCTGCGGATCGTCGTCATCGTGAAGAGGGGAACTCGTTGCTTCAGGTCGGCTTGAGGCTATCGATTTATGTCGATATGGCCTTTTCAATCCGGTCGGTTTGGTTTCTCCTTCGTCCAGCAAGAATACTCTTGACGTAATACTAGGGAGTTTCTGTGAGTTATTTCTAAATTATTTTTAGATTTTTTTCAATAATATTGAAATAATTTAGAAATAACTTAAAAATAAATATCGCGGATTATTTTTGAATTATTTCAAGATTATTAAAAATAATCCAGAAATAACCTGAAAATAACTCATGAATAACCTACGCCGCACGTAGAGCTACGTCGGGAGTCCGGACAGAAAATGCGCTCGCAGTCCAGGGTCGTAGAAAACACTGCAATTCACGTGGAAAAAGTGGTCTGTTGGTTTATGTGTAAAATGGGCTGTTGTAGAGTCACATTTTGTAAAAATTCCTTTGATATCAAATGATATTGATAAAGAAAATATTCATATATAAATAAATTAATTAATTTGTTCTAGAAAATTCTTGACAATAGAGTAGTGTATTATCGTCTCAGCATGATAGGATGATTCAACATACATTCAAATGATAGAAAATAACTAGTTGTGGCATTATAAATTTTTAAGCGAAAAACTTGTAAGGAAAAAAATTACGTGGTTTAATTCAGTTGTAATAATTCACTATAAGTTTATGGTTACAGAGACCCCTTATCCCACAGGAGGGAAAATGTTACAAAATCTTTTAAATTACAACGTCGATATGCGGATAAACTTATTGCAAGGAACGGGCTAGAGCAATTCAGATTGATGACGGTCGATGAGTGGTAGCTGACGGTGGTCGGCAAGGGTAGACTGCGATCGACAGTGATCAAAGGCGGTTGGCGGTAATCGATGGCGGCATCAGCGATACTGAACTTCAGCTATTTCTTAAAACTTCAAGCCCATCCTCAAATCTCAAGCTCACCCACATCCCCTCATGAGAGGAATGAGACTCAATTTATAGTGTTCTAGGTGCAATCAATGTAAAAATATGAACCACTTTGATCAGACATCTCAAAAGACTTCTCTCAATCAAACAACATTTAATAAACATTTTAGGGCACTAATATGTAAGAATTTAGTGATCTTTGGCTCATTAGATTCGTATTGTCGACAGGTTCGATTTGATTATAAGGCCGTCGGATTCAACCTTCATTTAAACCTCCAAAAGTGTTCAAAAAGCTTCCAAAAGTGATTCAATGACTTGATCAATGCTCGATTTGTTTCATAATGGATCAATATCGGTACCATTGGGTTTATCACGTTGAGCTGGTTAGTTTGACTATAATTTTTTTTCTGAAATAGGTGCATCAGATGACTTTTATTCAAAATTTGAATATATTTCTACAATAGATGAGTCGAGATCTGTGTTATGCATTGAGATTCGTGTCGAATGATGAAAATTTATTGATGGCATATATTTTTCTCAAATCCGCTGAGAGAATTTTTTTTAGGTATGCCATGGTAATAATAAATATTTATTTATTTTAACTTTTAAACGTTGTATTAAACTATTAAATTTAAATATTTATTTCATCTTCTTTAGACTTTATTTAAATTTAAACAATACATTAAATTTTAAGCACCATATCATCTATATGTCTTGTCTCCAATTTTATTAGCCCATCAACTCATCCCATGTGTCATCAAGTGTAGGATCATAATAGAGATTAGAAAGCATTTGGATCAAATATGTTTAGGGATAATTACATACCGAGCATCTGAAATTTTAATATTTACAAATCAAGCGCTCATGTGATTTTTTGAACAATTGAATCGGTGTATTTACACGTGTCACGATTAAATCATTGATAATTTTATAAAAAACAAAAAGATAGGTTGGGGTTTTAGTATGAATATTAATATTCAAATAAGTATTTGAAAAAAAAAGGAATGAGGGTGCTTAATTTGTAAATAGTAATATTTCAAGTGCTCTGTATGCAATTTTTATTAATTAGGCAAATATTGCATTCATCTTTTAAGATTTAATGAATATTAAATTTTTATATTTGTTTGTATTGTGAGATATAGTTTTTAAATAGGCATTTACATGCATCCCACATAATTCTTATGTAATTACATATCTGAGACTTAAATTTTACTTTTTAAATAAGGGTACATTTGGGACAGGTTGTACGTTTTAAGATAAACTGCTTATCCTGAAACACAACCCGCATTAAATACAAAAAAATTGAATGTAAATTATGTAAATCTTCTTTGATCAAATTAATAATCGCCATATTTTTATTTAATTTTTAAAATATTATGTTATATAAATAAATATAAAGTTTTAATGAAAATTTACATGACACAAACACTTTTCCTATGCTTGAAAATGTGGATTTCATTCATTGTTCCACACATTTGAAAAGTGTGAATTAAGTGTTGAATATGTAAATTTCTAAAATTTAAATGTTAGATATATAAATATATAAAAGTTTGTGATATATATGGATGAGTTTAGATTTATGATGTGAGATGGTCCAAGGTATGGCGTGCAATAGAAATGTCGTGCATAAAACAAACAAATTTAATGCATGTTGCCGTCTCTGTGAAGAGATATGGCTTCACATTGTTTTTTCATTGATCTCCATATTTGGATTGAAAGCCATGTGGCCTTTTAGAGTCCCTCTGGGGGAGCTTATTTGGTGCAGTGACATTTTGAAAACGCACCTGGACTGTTTGTGTAAACTGCGTTTTGACAGCTTATGTGTTTTGAGAATGTTGAAAGCTGCATTTTCACATTGCACATATTTAGGTGTGGTGACAGCTTTTTGGCAGCAGACTGACTTTTCCAAAAAATAAAATATTTCTAATAGTCATCACACTCAGCTTATCAGTTAATTATTCTTAATCAGCTTCAAATATTCAGCATTATTTATGTATTTTTACTTAAATTATATTTCATTAGATATTTACCGATAGAAAGATTTACATAACACTAAATTGCAATCAGGATTGTAAATGAATCAAATATAAGCAAGAGTAGGGCTTTTTCGTGTTACGATTTTTTTTTTGTGTTCTAAATGGTCCAAGAATAATAGGCTCATTTTCGGCTCGAATTTATTTGAATTGGCTAGTGTTCGACTCGAGCTAAATTTGAACCGCCTTGTCATCAACAACTAATGAGAAAATATAAATTTAATTAATTAAATTAAACTTATTAAACCTATAAAATAAGCAATTTATTAACATATTATTAAATAGCACTCCTCATTTTAAAAATTCTAATGTGGGACTAATAAGTTGATGTCGTGTTGGGAACTTTTTTTAAAATAATAAAAATTAGTATTTTCGAATACATTATAAATTTTGATATAAATAAATATTATTATATAATTATTTAAATCATTTTAATTCAAAACAAATCGAACATGGAGAACAATCTTTTGTTTATATTTGGCTTGTTTATAAATCAAGCCGAGAAAAACTTCATGCTCAACTCATTTTCTTAATGGACAAAATGAGCATAAGTAACTTAACGAACATAATACAAACTGTTCATAAAACCCTCGTATTTATAAAAGATATGAGGGGCAAAAAATATTAAAATTACGCATTTAACCTTGCTTTAAAGAGAAAAACAAAGGACATTCTAGTCATTTTATCTAAGACCATTAGATTGCCTCGAGATTCATGCAGACCATTTTCAAATATACAAATTAATTTAACTTTAAAGCTGAGCTCAATGAGTTGATGAGCTATAATTGAGCCTCCCCTTCATTTGTGAGCTCATGAAACGACATATTTTAAAATCAATTAATATAAAATGTGCTTAAAATATAGTAAAATTAAAAATATTAATTATACGAAAAAAATTCTCATACAGACAGTTGCTGAATTATTGAGCCGGCCTAAAGATCAAGAAATATGTGGCCCACACAATTTAATTTCAGGCCCATTTCCACTAGCTCCTTCCTGCATTGGCCCAACCAACTAGTTCCACGTAGCCTACAACGGACAATACTGTATGTCCCCTTCGATAAAAACAAGTTTACATGTGAGCCCCTGTCCGGTTAATGATATAATTACATATAATATTTTGAATTATGTATGTGTAAAGTTTGTACCTTCTTTCTCTCTCTCACACAAAACACTTGCACGTACTCACATAAATGGTAGCTAGGACTCTTAACAATCCAATTTCGAGTCGAGTTGGGGTCGGCTGGAAATCGGCCCGTGGCTTATTATATTCAATTTTGAAAAATTAAATAGAGCTCAATTCAGCTCAGAATCGAACCTAGCTGGCTCAATTTGAGTTATTGGATTAGTTTAAGCTTAGAATCGGCTTGATCCGGCTAAAAATTCGAACAAAATGGATCAAATTGTGTTATGCGGAACCGGTGCAAAATTGGCTCGAGACTCGTTATACTCAATTTTACTTGGCATTATATATAGTTTTTTTATAAATAAAAGTACTATGAGTTGATTGCAGGAATAATTTTGAGCCGATCCATGTATGACACGATATCGGCTCAAAAAAATTCGATCCATATTTTCAGCTCATAGTTGACTCGTTTATTTCGATCCAATCTCAATTTGAGCGAAAATTTGAACAGATCTTTCGAGCGAATAATGTTGAAATTGACTTTTTTTGGGCTTAGATTGTAGAAAGTAGTTTGAAATTCAAAGTGTCTATACTCAAGATTATTTTAATTACTCATACACAATAAAATTTGAACTAAAGTTTACTTTCAAAAATTTAAATTATGATCAACCTATAAAAAAAATAATATTTTATCAATTCATAAAGATTACTTTTTTAGATGGTGTAAATTAATGGAGGTCAAAGATTTGCTAAATCAACTAAATTAAAGACAATTAATATTGAACTTTAAATCATATTCAACAACCATTATATTAACAAATACATATAAGTAGGACTTTGTCAAAAAAGCTCGTTGTTCGTGAATAGCTCGAGTTTGGCTCGTTAAGTAACTCGTTTGGGGCTCTTTCTTAAAGTATAGGGGCCGAACACAAACAAATTTTTAAAACTCGAATTATAAACGAGCCGAACACCAACAACTCTTTGTTCGTTCGTGTTCGGCTCGTTTTAGCTATAAATAAAAAAATATATA